ATATATATTTTATATATATATATATATACAGTATTATATATATATATATAATATATTTCATATATTTCCATGAAGGTGAATTCTGAAAAACTGGGACCCTTTCAGCAAAGAACTATAAGTATGATTAAAAACTTAGGGAGCATAGTGGAAGAACTGAAGGAGTTCTTGTTTAAGAAATGGAATGAGGGGGACTTGGTTGGAGGAGTAGTATTACGGGGGAGGTAAAGGTGTTTTCAGAGACCAGACTAATTCTTGTTTTGGGGTGCAAATGGTAAAGATGAGTACCCATAAAATAACACATAATTGATTGTGGTAATTGGTGATACTTAAAAGACAAATTTGATATTTTTAAATAAATGGCTAATTCATTAAATAAGAGTTTATGTTTTGTGTTTGTAAGGAAGACATGGTTTATCACTGATTGTTTATCATCTGATTTTATAATCTGTGAAAAAAAATTATTGATATTTTGAATTTGCTTTCCACCTTTTTTCTGTAGAATAATAGAATTGTTCAGGTAAGTCTTGGGAATTCAGCTAGTGCAGCTTCTTGCTTGGAGCAGGGCTGGCACTAAATTCAGTCCAGCTTGTTTGGGGATTTGTCTGGTCTGAGCCTCTGAGGACAGCAGCCTCCGAGTCCCTGTTGCAGTGCTCTCCTGTCTTGCTGGAGAAAATGCTGTTTCCTTGGGTCAGGTCAGAGTCTGCCCAGCCGTACTGCTGGTCCTCAATGCCAGCTGATCAATGCCTGCTTGTACTGGGGACCACAACCAGGCATGGGACTCTGTGGTGTAGTGAGTGCCAAGTAAGTGGGATTAATCATTTCCCTTGACCTCCTACCTAAACTTTTGGTAAGACAACCCAGTACACTGCTAGGTTTCCTTGTTATTTTTATCCTGTAGCTTTTTTTGGGTTTTAGCAGTTATTTTAGACTCTTTCTTCTGGGCAGTACAATAACAAAAGTATGCGGTTCTCTATTGAGGTTTATAGGCCATAGTTTAAGAGCTATTACTGCTATAATTTGGTCTGAATGTTACCAAGTTGTCCAAAAAGCAAATTTTATTGAGTTAAACTTTTCTTTGAGGAAGGTATAAGTGAACAAGAGAATTATCTTCTAGAAACCTGTGGTCTGCTGTAACTTAAACATTAAATGTGGAATCTGCAAGACAGGAATTATTCAACTGTTGATAATGTGACCTGTGTTGGGTAACTAAACTCTGAGACCTTGCCTACTCAGTTTTCTAACAAGCATGTTAGAAAATTAATTTAAAAGTGTGAATTAGGAAGGAAAAGGAAGAGAAAGTGAAAAGTATGCTAAACACCACTGCTCTTTGAGACTTGAATTTAAGAGCAATTAAAACATGACTACTTTCATGCAAGCTTCCTTTTTCAGGTGAAAGAGACCTGTCTTGTTAACAGTTTTTTAGCAAATATTTTTTTTTTTTTTTTTTTTGGTTCTTTAATACAAGAAACTGGTAGGATGGACCTTGGTCTGTTGCTCATGAATTTAAGGTTACCCGTAGCTAATGTTTTTCCTTCATGAGTTAAAGATCACAAATGTCATTAGAAACAGAGCTGGGTATGGGAGAGACCATCAATTGAAAAGGTGACTGGGAGTCAGTGGGAAGCCACAACGAAGATATTTATGAAAGCTGCCTTTGGAGAAAATGGCCTAAGCCAGAAACCATGGAGGAGGAGGGGCAGTAGGGATGTGTGTGTCGGCTTGGGCTTTCTTGCAGTGGTCTTACCAGACCGTCACTGCTGTAGCCACCTGCTGATGTTGGTGTTGCCAAGATTAGCATTCAGCACTGGTTCATGGACTGTAGGAGTAAATGTAAGCTGTTTATTAGTATCTTTAAACCTCCACAAAGCATGTGGTTAGATGTGGGTGACTAATTATTTTTATTGTTTAATAATTTCCTGCTCTCCTAATACCATTTCCCAATTATATTCTCCCCCTGTTTACCAGCTGCAGTTTTAATACAGTCCTCGGGTTGTACCAGTGACCCTTTTACTTGGCCTACCTCCATCTTTCTGCCCTGTTTTCTGTCAGCTGTCATTGCTACAAAATAGTGCAGCGTTTCCTGAACTTCCAACTAGTTTTTAACAGCAGAGTTCAGTTTGGGTTAGGATTGTTGGGTCGCATTTGCACAGAGCCAGGAAGAATGCCCCTTCCCCCTCCCCTTTTTTTCCCTTTTCCCTGGAAACATGGGGCTATTTATTTTTAAAACAGTCACAGAATTAATTTGGAGGAAGAAAACTCTTTCTCCTTGGAGTTAGCCTGGGCCTCACAGACGGGCTGGTTGCAGGCAGTTGGAGATGACGTCATCTAACAACTTGCTGTGTTTTCAGTTCCGGAACTTATTTCCTTGCACAAATTTATTGTCTGCACATTTTGTCTCCTCCCAGCCACCTACTTCTCACACTGGTCTTGCTGCAGCTGCACCGCAGCTTCTGATTTCTTTCCTTCCTCTTCTCTAGCCCCTTTTCCTTTCTTTGTCTTTGTGGTTGGTGAGTTGCATTTTATCCCCAAAGGGGCTAAAATAGAAATTAAAGCCCACTTAGTTCTTAGTTTGTTAATGTTTTAAATGAGACTAAATAAATTTCAGTGGGAGACTAAAAAACCATGCCTGCATGACAGACTGCAGGGGAGAATCCACTAAGTAAATTACATACACATAACAGCAATAATCCTGTTTTGTGCCCACTGTAGATACTGCAGTTGTGAATACACAGAGTATACTCTGAAAGATGCATTTGTCACTCAGCTGATCGTTGAGTCTTCTCAGAGGTTTGTTACTGCCCGACATTTTTGATGTTCTGATGTTTTCCAGAATGCTCAAAGTGGATTGAGTTACCTGGTTAGCTCTTATGGGTAGGTTTATTTCTCTGTTTCCAAACAGCTAAGCGTTTGGATATTTATCATGATTTTTTTAATGCTATTACTAGGGTCAAACAAAAATCTAAGAAACATGAAATATCTGGTATTTTTTCTTGAGAATAAATTAGAATAAGATTTAGAGTACACAGAACTGTATTAGCTGGCAGTTTGCTGTTCAGTAGGGTTAGGCCACCAATATTGTTTTATCACTTGAGCTAGTCAACTGAAAGACTAGGTGAATGTTTGCAGACCAGCCTGCGAGCTGAATTTATCTATTGCATCAGGTGAATTTTTACCCCTTTCATCCTCACCGAATTTTTTTGATTCAGGCTTTTTTTTTCCATACATTTCCATGCTAGAATCTTGTTTCTTGTATCTGGCACAGGGTGGTGCTAGGTAGAGAAGGTACACAGAGAGCAAATTTGTAATTCTGCTTAAAAAAAAAAAAAACAACAAAAAACCCATGAAACAGATTTTGCTAAAGTTTTAAACTTAAGCCAAATTTGAGTCTTCTCTGAGTAGAGAGCAACTTGTGGAAGTCAATATGCTGCGTTACTGCTTTCCAGAAATTCAGTGTGATGTGGAAGGAGTAAAACTTGAAGTGGCGTGTATCCCTGTAGATTAGATGACTGCTGTAAAAAACCTTGATATAGGGTTTAACCTTACAAAGTTATGCATGTATAAACATGGAGGTTAGAAAATACTGAATAATTTTTTTTGATGAATCAAGCTTGGGAACTGTGCAATACAGATTTCTTTATTTCCTGCTATCTGTGCTTTTGTTTTGTTTACTTCTCAACTGAACTGGTAGCAAGAAATGTTCTGTTAACACACAGTTCTCTTATGAATGCTGTATGAATCTCTCTATGAATGCTTAGAAATTTAAAATGTCATGACAAAATGTAATATACAAGCCTGGGTTACACCTTCCATTATATATTACCTTCTGTAGTAGCATTATAAAGGAAAAAAAAATCCTATATGTCATGAAGGTAAATATGGATTCAGGGTATAAACTCACTTCCATATTGAGAAACTTTAATAGTTGAGTGTGTGATGCCTTCACAAAAAATTTCAGTTTTTTTGTGTAAGATCAGTGGGCACAGTGAGAAAAATCCCAAATACTACAAGGCTGATGATAAACTCAGGAAGATAAGAATACCAGTCCAGCAGGAGATACTGAAATGGACGGAGTGTTCCAACCTTTGGCCACAGTTTCTAACAAAATCTTTGCAGTTGAGAAGGAATAATTAAGGGCAAAACAACTGCAGTGGTAATGTCTTCCACTTTCTTAAGGGTGATGGTGGCTTGTGACTGATGTATAGAAAATAATTTTAATTTGATCTGGACCCTACAGTGCAGTTGGTTGCTGAAGCAGCTCACATCTACGTAGTCAAGTTCAGTTTTCATCTTGTGCTGTAGTAGAAACAACAAAAATGTGAGAACTTGAGCCCAAGTTTATACTTTTCCTAAAGAGCACTCTGAGCTGTGGACTGAGACACAGGGACAGATCCAAAAATAGAGGTGGAAAGAAAAGTAGATAAAGGCTAGAAGACAAGATAGTGGCCAGTGTTGCAGGGCACTTTTGGCGCTGTGACTTGCAACTGGTTTGAGCCAAGATTTGTGCATCAATCTCAGTAGAAAACTTTCCCTCATATTGTAGGCAGAAGGGGTAAGGTGCCTTGAGTTACATAGCACCAATCACAAAACAGAAGTTAACACATAAGCATTTTGATGTAAATTCATTCTCAGTTTAACTTAGACTTAGGTCATGGTTTGCATGCTTATGTTACTGGCTCGTGTGTAGGCTTATTTTGTGGTAAGTGCTGTGTGTAATTCAAGGTGCCTTGCCCCTTGGGACAGCTTCAGGATTCATGTGGAATAGCCAGTTGCTATATATAACTTGGTTCCTGTAATTACTCACTTCTTTGAATACTGTGCTATCAAGATGCTATTTTTGGGTTTGCACGTATTTTTCCGTAAGGTGGTAATCATTTGTTTTATCAATAATCTGTTTTTAAAATTCTCTTCCTTAATAAAATATTCTAAATTATTAAAATGTTTCTCTTCAGTCTGAAAAAAAGATTTGATTCATTCACTTATTTTATCTTTTCTGTTGATAGGAGAGGTCTTCTCACAATCTACATGGCTAATCAAGTAAGTAATCCTTTATTTCAGTAAAGAATAAAAATATGCAAGATCCATTGAAAATGTCTTGCTTAAAGTTGATAGATGCTGAGGTTCATTACATTTTTTTAATTGTCGCAGGACTTTTCTTTAAGAATTATACATTGTTAGATAACTAAAACTTCCTTAAGAGCAAATTGTGATCAGAGATCTTTCAGAAATAGCTGTTAAGCAGAGGCTGAAATGTAGTTCATTGTACTTTGCTCAAAGTTTCATGTATTGTAGCCCCAAGTAATTTAGTATTTCTCCTCCATGGCATCTGGTACTTAAATGATTGTTATTTTGCAGATGAGAAATCCAGCATCCATATATTTCAGTTTTGTAATTAATAATTTCTCAAACTTGTGTCAGCTGTTGTTCATGCAAAAATTTTTGCCATGTGGTTGTATCAATTTAAATTTTGAGTCATGTTTCTTTTACTCTCCTTCAAATAAATGACATTTATCTAAATGATGCTTTGGCATTATCTTTTTCCAAATATGAAATGCTTCTGTCCGTGATCATACTCCACTTTGCCAATGGAATTATTAAAATTTTTGTACCATTTGAGTTGCATAAATAGTCATAGAAAGTACAAAAAAGAAAACAACTCAAGAATTGTGCTCAGACTACTGAGAGAGTTTGCTGGGGCCTCAGTAGAGTCGTGCATGAGTCAAACTCTGATGGTGATGATAAGATTAATGACTAAAAGGGGTGAGACAAAGGCAATGTATCATAGTACAGATTAGGGTGATAAAATTAATATGTTCTCTTCCGTCCTTGTACAATCATTGTTGATGACTTGTAATTCTGAGTATTTTGTGGGGGCAGAACTTTTGGAAGGAGCTGATATCATTACATGTATTAACAGGTAAATATCCTGGAGAATCCCTTTATGCATTTACCAAACCCATTACATAGTTCTCTCTCAAACGCTGGTGCTTAACAAATTCTTTTAGGCAGAAATTGTTTCTTGGGTTTTTCTGTATTCATAGACTCTCTTTACAGACAGACTTGTGAGGGGAACATGCAGACTTCCAAAGAGAATAAACCAATTTTTGCTTTTCACTTCATTATTGTCGAAATAACATTGTAACTTTTCTAGCTTCCTGACTTGTATGGCTCATACTCTGTCCTTTAGGATTCCTTTTCTTTATGAAGTTTTTTAACTTAATTTGAAAAGATGACAAGTTCTCCTTTTGAAATTCAATTAATTATGTGCTCAGAGTCCCAGTAATGCATAGGAACAAGGTTTGACTCCTGCAGGGAAATCTTAACTTCGGAAGTGTTCCTTGAATTCAGAAGGGCAACTGTATAGAAACTTCTCATTCAGAAAAGAGAGGTTATAAGGACAATGATATTTTGTTGGACATATTCCTTTGGAATGGACTTTCTAAGAGAAGGGGGAAATAGGTCTGCTTAAATAGCAGCACCTCCGAGTATCCCAATTCTGAGAAAGCTGTCATCATGGCTCTAAGGCTGAAATACCACACAGTTCACCTGGTTTTGGATGGAGTTGTAAGGGAAAAGTCAAGCCATACAGTTACATTTAATGGATACCATTTGGTGTAGATATTCTCTTCAGTATAATGGCTTATTTTTCTCATGGATCTTTGGCCAGAGCTGCCAGGGTTTACTCTGTAAGCTGCCCATCCGTGATCATGTCATACTTGTTAGCAAGCCCTGTAATCACAGTAAATGTTTCCCTATTTGTGTTGCTTATCTTTGGCTTAGAACTTTATATGCTTTGATAAGATTCACTTACAAATTTACTAAGCCTTTAAAACATTTATTTCTATCAGCTTGAGATTGCAGCATGTCCCGTTTTGAAAGTTGTCACATTTTAATCTTTAGTGATGGCAGATAGATTGTGAAATTAGCCAGCATTTCTTGCATTCTGTAAAACTCGTGTCAGGACCTGTTAAGATGTTAATGGAACTAAATGTATTCCTTTGTTTTGTTTCACGTTTTGCTGCACTGACTTTTGCAGCCATAATAATGAAGGCTTTTTGTGTGATTCTTATGTTCTTATGTGCCTTTGCCCAGGTAGGCAGGAGGTAACTGTAATTACTGTTGGTTATTATAAGTGACTATCATGACTTGCTGCAGTGAATTTTTATAGCCAGATTAAGGCTTTTAAATCAGAAAATTTTTGTTCTATTGTCCAGTTGGCAGTATGTGACAATTTGTCCTCGGAGATGAATTTACTTATGGGAAAGGGGAAAGGTGTGTTAAATCTTTATGCATGGCTGCTGTTTCTCATTTCAGTGAGTTAAATGCAGTAGAACATGAAAAGCAGTGAGGTCTAAGGACTCTTGTTCTAAATGTGACATTTTTATTGTTTTTTAATCTGGAGCTCTAGAAACTTGTGAATGGAAGCATGTGAATAAGTGTCCTGGTCCATTTTAAATAAGTCAGTAATTATAGATTTATCCCTAGCTGCATTTCCTTGCTGCTTACATGTTAACATGACAGATTAAAAATGTTTAGGAAACTATGGAAGAATAGAATAAAATCTTTTTTTTTTTTACAGATTAGCTTGCTTCTAAATTGAAGCTATACAAAAATGTACTTTAGGATTTGGATTTTCTTTTGCTTTTTTTTTTAGCAATAGGAATTGGAAAAAGCATTTATAGTTTTAATTTTAATGTGCAGAGTCTAAAATCAACTTCTTAGCTTCTCAGTGGAAGTCATTTGAAGCTTTTAGAATTAAATTAGTATGCCTAAGTCCTAACACTGCTGAACACGTGGGTTTGAGACCTAAAGTTTCTGTAATAGCCCTGAACAGAATAGTGGTAGTCAGTGCTGTGGACCACACAGAGCCATGCAGCTTTCAAGTTCTATTTTGGATTGCATGTATTAAAGTCACAAAATTTCTAGGATCATAAGAGATGCATTGGTAGTGAACAGATGAGATGATCCTTCATGGATAATTTGAGATCAAAAGGAACCTCAAGATTCTGGCAAAAGGTGGAAAGTGAAATGTAATCTTTCAGTTATTTTTATCTGGAACAGTAGATGGGATTAATGACTGTCCGTGAAGAGGACCATGAAGCTCTTATGTTTCCAAACAGTAGAGGCACACTTTGTTGTGAACAGCTCAACAGTTGAGTTGTTGCTTTTACATTGAATAAATTTTGGCTTTTCTCATGTTGAAACCAAAACAAACAAAGGCTACCTTCAAAATGCAGGATAGGAAGAGTCTAATCTGAACTAGGACTGATTTTATATAAAGCTTCTTTGAGGGACAAAACTTTAGAGACATTGCTGTGTTGTCATTGAAATGCTACACCAGAGAGGAGACAGTTATCCTAGCATGTGCTGAGCTGCATGCTATGTTTGAAATTCAAACTGCACATCACTACATCAAAGTCTTTATTCATTCTCTACTAGGACTTCTGATGTATGGTGGCCTGCTTACAGAATTGGTAATGTTAATAAGATGCTCTTGAGGGTCATGGATTAAATGATGTAAAGCTTACGCTTAAGGTGAAGCTGGATGCAAAAGGCAGAGGAATGCTGTTGAGGGCTGTTTCTAGGGAGTGATGGGAGGAAGAAGTGTTGTAGGGGTATGTTCCAGGCATAGTGAAAGCATTCCTGAGTGAAAAGTTATAAATTTGGAAAGTAAGATAAGAGAGATAGGAAGAAAGGAAGTAGAGAAGCACAATCTACAGGTAAAACACAAAAATTTATTGTGTCGAGAGACATGGAGCTGGTAGTGGAAGTTGGTGTGTGGGAGTGTTAGAGGTAGAACAAGTGGAAAAAAGATGAGAAAATGTGAAGTTTATTCTAGTTAAAACAGAGAGCAGGTGATAAAGAAAATGATGGGTTTGCCATGAAAGGGTTGGATTAACTTAATAATTAATTAATATTAAGAAAATTTTAGGAAGAGCCCAGAAAGAGAGAGACAGAGAGATGGTATTGTTGGTGTCCTGGAAATGGAAGTTGCAAGTGCAACTGCATCTGCAATTGCTTCTGGACAAAGTTTACAGAGAAGTCTGAAGATGCTGAATCTTATTTATTCCTATGCTGATGTTGGGTCATCAGTGCATCTGATATTTATGAAATACTGCACACAGATCCTCATACATAGAGGAGGAAATACTATTTAAACATGGATGGAATGAGTTGATCAGTGGCATTCCAGTGGGTCATGCTCTGCTTCTGTATGTGATAAAGTAACACAGCTGAGCAGAGTTTTTGCTGTTTTGAAGTAGTCCAAGCAGTTTCATAGTTGAATTGTTTTTCAGTTGCATAAACCAGCTAAATCTGGGTTTATTTGGGCTGTGTCATTGTTTGTTCCAACTAGTCAAGTGTGAAGGTTGCATGTAAGTTGAGCTCTTAAAGCTTGAAATATTTGGTCTAGGAGTTTGCAGAAATGCTGAGACACAGACTCAAAAAGAAATCCCTCAGGACCTAATGGAGAAATGAATATCCATTGCTCTTCTGTCAACTTTAACTCCAGATGTTTGTATGATTTCTTTTTTCACATGGTGGAAGTTATAGTGATTCAAGATATCACAAAATTGTCATGCTGTGCAATATTTAAAAAAACCTCAAAGCTATTCGCCTAATTTTGGGTATCTGGCACAGGCAGAGAGCAAAGTAGATACCAAGCTTGACAAAGATATGGCACAATATAGAACATGGTTCAAATGTTTGAGGCCAAGAGCCCTCCAATATCACTTTCCATGTACACTAAATTTGTTATTGTTTCGTGCCTTTTGAGGGTGATAGGTGGATGGATGAAAGAGGAATGAGAGTTGCTGTGGCCAGAGGAAAAACAACAGAAAGCCACTTTTAATCGGTGCTTTTGCTGATCCTGTAGTTTTAACTTTTTGCTAAAGGCAAACTGGTAATATTGTAAAGGAAGGTACTTGCATACAAGAAATGATACTGAGCATTCCTAAGTGATTTTTCTTACTAGCTTATCAAATGCTCTCTGTACAAAATTGCTGATGTATCTGAGTTGTTACAGATGTCTCAAGAAA